TAAATCAGAAAACTTGACATATACCAGTGTTGGAAATAGCAGCTGGTATGCGTCGCTTTCCCATACCATAGATTAATGGCGGGCCGCCAGGCTATAAGTGCTCTTGGAGAACTCCTGAGAAAAACATAAATAAAGTGCGTTTTTCGTCACATTTTTCTTGGTTGTCTGCCGGACAATGTCTCAGACTGGTTAGGTTGTCCGGCGCAAATTCTGGTTGTCTCGGACAACCGGACAACGCTTATTTCGAGCACTGTAAAGTGTTATACTAAATTACATGTAACTCGTTATTTGCATTTAGGATGATGAACTAGTTATCATGTTTCACACTGAATTAGACACTAAACAGTAGTGATCGATGTCACGATCATCGATTATACTCGATCATCGGTTGACCAGTGGCTCGAACCAAGCGCTTGGTTATCAAAATCCATAATCAATTTCATAAATTCAATTCAATTTTTTAAATTTGAACAAGAAAACTTGGAAAAGTGATGAGAATCAGTACATGTATTATACACACAGTAGTAAACAGTGCAAAACAAACAGTAAACAGGGCTAAACAAGCACATACATGCACACGACGTTACGCACATGCAGGCATTTAACACCCCGAGTAACCGATTGTAACCAATCATCGGTTACTTGGGTCCAACCGATGATCGATTACGAAATTAAAACCGATTGACAACATTACTAAATAGTACGAATCGCATTTGGTATTACCTTAGCACTAACAACATTGCAGGTTATATCCAGTGATTAAAAAGTCACAAACTTGACAAAATGACCAATCCCATGAGGTAGAAAAGTATTCCCCACCCTCAATGCAGTGTGAATGTGTCAGCCGACGTTGAGTATAAGTCAGTGTGTATTATATAGACTGACATTTCAAACAAAATCCATATTCGTCTGCCATTCATTACAGTGCCAGTGGCGTTTATCGAAGATCGCAGCCTGAACGGAGGAGACATGTCGTCGCAATTAACTCGGCAGCCCGTGCCCAACGAGCTTCCCCAGCGGACGAAGCTGTCGCCGATCAAACTCGCGAAGAGCCCGCCGAATCGTAAGCAGCGCTGCGCGGACGACGAAGCGAGAACGACGATGCAGAGCATCGACGAATTCGACCGGCGCCTCGCGGACCGCGCCGGCGCGACGATGGGCCTCCCCGCCACCGCCGCCGAGCCGTTCTCGAGTCTCCACACGGCGGCCGACCTGATCGACGCGGCGCGCGGCGACGCGTACGTGCGCGACATCCGGCGGCGGCTCTCCGAGACGGCGGAGGCGCGCCGGGAGCGGGACCGGCGGCGGCGGCGCGTGCTCACCGCTCAGCTGGACGCGCACCGCGCCGCGCACGACCGTCTCCGCGACGACGACGCCGTGCGCCGGCTGCTGCGCCGCTCCGTCGAGGAGATGCGCGTCGCGGCGCGGCTCATGGCCATTCGCCGCGAGAAGGAGGCCGTCGTCGCGAACCAACTGCTGCGGGAGCGGCAGCACGGCGAGCGATGCGAGCGGGACTTCGACGACGTGCTGCGACTCGAGGCGGAGCGTCTCGCGGGGCTGCGGCGCGAGCAGGCGACCCTCGCCGCCGAGCAGCGCCACCTACACCGCTCGCTGCTCGCCGACCGCGAACGCGAGCGACACCGGCGCCACCTGGACCGCTGCGAGGCCGCGGTGTGTGACGTCGTCGACGTGGCGACAAAGGTCGGGGAGTACCGGGAGCTGACGGGCGGCGCGGTGCCGCCGAGGCTCCTGCGAGAGTGGAAGCAGCTGTTCGTATGCGGGAGGCCGCTGTACGACGACCCCATCCTCCCCCCGGGGGAGGAGGAAGAGGAGGGGACCCCACCGGCGGCGCCGCGGGACGACGATCGCGAGAACCTGCTCAACACGACCGAGTTTCTCCAGTACCGGGACCTCCTGGGCGACTGGGCGCCCGAAACCTCCGTCTCCGACGCCGACGACCAATCGGCCGGGAGCACGATCCTCGGCTACGTCGCCGCGAGGGTTCTCGGGATCGTGCGTCCGTCGACGCCGCCGCCGCCCGCGCCGCCGATGCCGCGCTGCCCGCTCAAGGCGTGCGTCGTCGGGAAGACGTTTGCCGGCAAGACGACGGTGTGCGAGCGGCTGCAACGCGACTTCAACGTTGCCGTGCTGCGGGTGGAAGAACTCGTGCGGGCGGCCGTCGACGCCTACCGGCTCGAGACCGCCCCCGCCGCCGCGGAGGAGGAGGAAGAGAAGCCGACCGACGATCGGGAAGACGAGGGGAAAGACGACGGTGGGCGCGGATCGTCGGACGACGTCGGACGAGGAACGGAGGAGGGAAACGCGGGGATCGATCCCGCGGGATCGGGTGACCCAGCGAGCGACGTGCCTCGCATCAGCATTGAGCGGGCGTCGCCGGCTGAGGTCGACGTCGAGACGCTCTCGGACGAGGCGCGTCTCGGCGGCGAGGCGCTGCGCTGTCTCGACGCCGGCCGCCCCGTCGACGACCGCATCCTCATCGACGTCCTCGCCCGCGCCATCGCCGCCGTGCCCGAAACAAGAGGCTGGCTCCTCGACGGCTTCCCGACGAGTCTCGCGCAGGCAAAGCTGCTCGAGGAAGCCCTCAGCGGCTACAAGGAGAAGAAGGTGCTCACGGACGAAGACCTGATCGCAGACGTGCCGGACGTCGACGCGATACGACGGTCCGTCCTCGTGAAGGGTCCGCTCGCCGCGCGCAAGCTGCCGGCGCCATCTAGCGGCCTGCACGCGGTCATCGTCGTCGACGCCGACGACGACGTCGTCATCGCGCGCGCGTACGACGTCGAGTTCGCCGCGCGCGAGGCGCTCGCGAAGCAGGAGGTGCACAACGTGAGGCTCGGCGGGGGCGGCGGGAGTCCGGGCGCGGCGGACGTCGCCGCGTGCTGCCCCGCCGCCGCGGAGGAGGGCCTGCCGACGATGCACCATCGCCTCGCTGCGTTCGCCGACGCGTGGCCGCGCATGCGCGCCTGGTTCGACGCGTTCGGGCTCGTGAGGGTCGTCGACGGGTCACGCGAGGTCGAGCGGGGTCACCGCGAGGCGGCCGCTGTCGTCTCGGCGTTCCTCGCACCCACGCAGAAGGAGGTCGAGGCGGAGGTTGCCTCGCGGGGGTCGGCGACCCTCGGGAAGGAGATGGCGGGCCGTCAGCGGAAGGCGGGGGCGGGAGCGAAGGGGGAGAAGCGTGCGGGCGGGGCGCGCTCCCGCAGCATGAGCATCCGCGAGCGGAAACTTGACGCAGAGCGATCGAACGCGAGCGTCGTTGCCGCCGTCGACACGCCGGAAGCCGTGGATGAGGACACCGTCGCCGCGGCAACCCCGCCTCCCCCGCTGCGGCCGCCGACTCCGCCGCCGCCGGGCGCCGCCGGCTGGCGCTACGCCGACCTGCCGCTCGACGCCGAGATGGTCGGTGTTCTTGCGGCGCAGTGGCGCCACCTGGAGCGAGCGTACGTGATGTCGCTGAAGGCGGCGTTTGGCGTGCTGCGGGAGGAGCACGAGCGCAGCTACCGCTACCTGCACCGCGTGCGCCGCGACTTCGCCGCGTTCCTGCGCCGGCTCGACGCGAAGCAGGCGTTCGTCGAGGCGTGGCAGCGCGACTACAACGCCGTCGCTGTGGACGCGCGCGCCGACGTGGAGACGCGCGCCGAGCTGCACCGGCGCGTCGACGCGCTGCTCGAGGCGCTGTGGGACATCTGCGACGGGCGGCGCGCGGCGGCGGCGGCCGAGCGCGAGCGCGTCGTCACGTGCGGCTGGCTCGACGACCGCGTCGGCATGCTCGCGAACATCTTCACGATCGTCGTGCAGACCGAACTGAACCGCTTCCTCGAGACGCTCTCCTTCGTGAGGGACTACTACGCGTCGATGCGCGGCGCCACGCCCGAGGTCAGGCCGGGTCAGCCGCCGACGGTCGCCGTGACCGAATTCGCGGACACGGTAGCCGCGGAGGATTCGACGGCGGCGACGCCGCGGCAGTGGAACTGCCCGACGCTGAAGAGGACGCTGGAGAGGGGGAGCGGCGTGGAGGAGGTGCTCGAAGAACAGGAGAAGCTCTTCATGGAAGCGTACAGCGCAGCGAGGAAAGCCGTCGTCTCGCTGATGGACGCCGAACGCGAGAAGAAATTCGCGCGCGACTCCGCCGCCGCTGCCGCCGCCGCCGCGAGGGAAGGAGGCACCCCCGCGAAGGAGGCCTCCTCCTCCTCGCCGGCGCGCACGGAGGAGGAGGTCGCGGAAGAGGAGTGCTTCGCAGCGCTTCTCTCCGAAGAGCGTCGCTTCCTTGCATGCGCCGATGTCGCTCGGGCGCGGGCCGTCGCCGTGCTGCGCGACCTGCAGGCGCGCGCTGCCGCCGTCTACGCCGCCATGTACGAGGGCGTGGAGCGACGCTACTCCGCAGAGATGGCGAGCATCGAGACGCTTAGCGGCGTGGCGCGGCGCGCGATCGAGGGCGGCCGCCCGCTGCAGGCCGAGCTCACGCTGCGCCAGGACGGATTCTTCATCGCCGACGACGTGCGCCTGTTCGCGTCGCCGCCGCCCGCGCCCGCGCCGCCGCCGCGAGAGGTCGCCACCGCCGCAGGGTTCACCGTCGCGCAGGTGGCGGCGGCGGCGAGCGGTTTCGCGCGCGAGGCGCCAGGGGGCGCCGTGTCGGCGCGCACGTTCATGGACGTGCTGCGCGACCTGAGCGCGACAACGGGGCCGCGGCGCGCGCTGCCCCCGGCGTGGATCAACCTCCCCGCCGCGCGCCTCCGCGGTCTCGTCTCGCTGCTCTGCGCCGACGGGCGCGCCGTCGACTGGCGGCGCTTCGTCGTCGAGGCCGCCGCGCCGCCGGCGCCCTCTCTCGAAGAGCTCCTCGCGGCGCTCGCGGCGTTCCGGCACGCCGACTCCGGCGGGCGGGTCACGCGGGACGAGTACGACGGCGTCGCGCTGTGGTTCGGGGGTCCCGATGCTGCGCCGCCGCCCGACGTCTTCGATCGTGCGAGCGCGATGAAGGGGGCGCTTTTCGACATGTTCAGCGACGGACAGGGGGCGCTCGAGTACCTGCCGTTCCTCCTCTACCTCGGCGCGGCGGCGACCACGGCCGCGACCCCGCGAGAGTCGCTGCGCCGCGCGCTCAGCCTCGTCGCTGGTGCCCCCGTCGGCACGCACGTCGCCGTGGCGACGCTGCGCCGGCTGCTGTCACTCGCGCGGCCGCGGAGGGCCGCCGACGACAACGATGAGCGAATGTTCGAGCAGCTGTGCACGGAGTTAGGGGGCGCCACGGCGGAGCTAGGGGGCGCTGCGGAGGTGCCGTTCGCGGGCCTCGTGGAACATGCGTACGTGCGGCGCGTGCTCGGTAAGGCTCCGATGCTGACCCGCGTTGACATATACGCCTACCTCGCCCGCGAGCAGGACGACAAATGAGAGGGGAAGGGCGTGCAGCGTGGGCGGGGGCGGTAGGGGGGGGGCGGGGTAGGCAGCATTGATGTACGTCTTGCTGTTGTTGGTCACGCGCAGGACAACGAGTGACAGGGGGAGGGCGTGCAGCGTGGGCGAGTGGCAGGGGGAGGGCGTGCAGCGTGGGCGA